CTTCCTTGATTCCTCTCTGCTTCTTGTTGCCATTTCATAAACTGTTTCTACTTTCCCATGCCCAGATTTCTTTTTTCTTTTTCTGCAGCACTGGGGATTGAACTCAGTACCCCACGCTTGCCAGTCAGGTATTTATTCTACTGAGCTATTTTCCTGGCCCAAAATTTCTTGTGTCATCTACTTGGAATGAAGCTGGGATTTTTTAAAATATATATGTTAGGGAAGAGTCTACATGATGTTCAGAGTCTCACTACTGGAACGGACTCCTAGTGATTCATCTGTTTACAGGCTCCCAAAAGCTGGGATCACAGGCTCCCGCCACCATGCCCAATCTCATTTGCCATCTCAGTGTGCCCCAGGGGCAGGGCCAGCAAGGTAGGCCCAGGGATCAAATCCCCAGTCCCTGCTCCTGCTTGCAGGTGCTTTAATTGGCTGAGTTATTCTGCCAGCCCTACCCATGCCCAGCTTTGACGCAACCTTGTGTTGCAACTAAGTGATTATAGACTGAAACCTATACAAAATATGAGCCTATATAAATAACTCTTCATTTAATGTATGGGTGCAAGGGTGTCAGGTATTTTGACCCAGTAAATAAAACAGATTTTGATAAAAGATAAATGAGGCTGTTATTGTGATTAACTGAACACATAGATTAGAAGCCTTGGAAGTGTATTTCTGAAGGAATTTGTAAAGGTTTGGTGATGCTGGTTGGAGAAACAGCTATAGAAGATGTGAGCCAATTTCAATGGGATGATCTGGTGAGACCTCAGAAGAACAAAATGCTAATAGTAATGGAACCACTAAAGACCAGGCTAAGAACTTACCCTAGCCAGCAGCTAGGCCAGAATGAATTTCCCATCTCCAGCCAGTGATCAGGCCTGGTGTGCAACTCTTCAGTGGAACTCCTAGCACAGCAGCTGGGAAGGAGATCCAGCCAGCTAATCCAGAAGAAGAACAGCTCACCAGTGGGGCATAGATGGCTCACTTCCCAGACTGCAACAAGAAGAAGCCAAGCACAGCAGACAGACTCATGCCAGGCCCAGATGAACAAGGTTGAACATGATAGATCCAGACCTGGTAAACTGAGACACACAGCTAGACCCAAATCTATGAGTGCATACTCTCTCCATTTCTCTTGACTGAGAGAGGAGGCAACAGGTAACCAGTGTAAAAGTTTGCCTGGAAGTCACCAGATACATAAAGTGTAGGTAATCAGACAGATCTCAGGGGAACTAATTTAAATACAAATTCATAATTTTATATCTGCTTAGCTATACAGTCATGATGCTGGCACCTAGAGTCTAAAATACAAACCCATCCATTACAAAAGTTTGTAAAGGGCTACATCTCACTACCCATTATTAATACTAATTGATGGAAAATAAATACAAAACTGCAACTGCCTTAACCACATAATCTTCCTTGGGTAATAATATCAGTAGGAAGTAAGGTAACTACCACACCAAAGCTCTACACCAAAGGTCAGAGGACAATGCTATACAAAATGACAAAAAGAAGGAGCAAAGTGCACTCTCAGGTCCCGAGCCCATGAAGGACGAATGCAGGAGACACCAGATTGAAGAAATCAGAAGTCACACTCTTGAAATCTCTGAAATAATAGCGTCTGAATTTAAGAATCAACTGCAGAAAGCTATAAAAGATATCAGATCACAAATAATCACCAAAATAAAAAGGAATAGATATCTATAATGAAATAATTGTTAAGTAATTCTGAAGTAGACACTGATAAAAAATAGAAGAGAATGAAAAAATGGTGAAATACTTGCATGAACAATGTAGGAAAGAAATAGAATGCATGAAGCAGATTCAAAGAGATCTAAAGTAAATTAAAATCTCAATCACAAGCTGGCAAAGCCATTTGAACGAATGTGAAGATAGAGTTTCAGATCTTGAAGACACCATTGCAATTAGTGAAAAGTTAAAAGATCTCTTAAAAACAACTGAGATGAAGGAAAAATAATGCATCACCTTCCAGACAATGCAAACTGAACAACATAAGACTAATAGGCATCAGTGAGTGTTATGGTTTGTGTATAGTTGTCCCCTCAAAGCCTTGTGCAGTCTTGAGGTGGCTTCTGCAATTTGATTGATTATTGTAGGTGTGGATGTTACACCTGCCCCGGGGCAGTTAATTTGCATTTCAGTTTAAGGAGGAAAGAGAAGTTAGCTTCTTGAGCTGCTGCTATTCACTCCTTTTGTGTTCTTGCTCTTTGCCCACCACCGTTAAAGGTTGCTGACTTCCATGTGCCACTTTGCCTTGGAGACAGCTGAATATGGACTGAAATCTTCAGTAACTGTGGGCTAAATAAACCTTTCCTTCCTTCATATTGAGTGTCAGGTATTTTTCACAGCAATGAGTAAAAAGTACCTGAGACAATGAGAGAGACAAAAGAATTGATATAAAAAGAATATGGACAAAAATAATAGCAGAAAACTTCCCAAATATGGGGAAACAATCTGATATTTAGGTAACCAAAGCATACAGAACTCCAAAGAACATCAGCCCAATTAAAAACACACCCAGACATATAATAATCAAAATTCCAGGAATACAGCAC